TTCTTTCCAAAAATCGGGACTTTTTTTAAACACCGCGGGACGCGGGACAAATTGTTAAAAAGCGCGACGTCTGGTCACCCTAAGAGAGACCTCACTCATGGATCTCTCAGAAAGTGTCAGACCCCATAGGGAGCCCGGGCGCGCTAGGGCGGGGTGTAGAAGTTGCAGTCTCGGCTCGCCCCAGCTCAGAGCAGCCTGAGGATAAAACTACAATTCCCAGGATGCCATTCGGCACGGGCCAGGAACCGGAAGTAGAGCTGGAGCGCGCCGCTGCCGCTGCAGGTGGTGACGGGAACAGGTACGCCTGAGGCTGGATTGGGGGGTCGGACTAGGGTCTGCGGGGTCCTTCTTGGGACTGTCGCCTCGCTCATCGGCGGAGCGGATGCTTGGGAAGCTGCGTTCGTTGACCAGCCATGTCACCTGTGGTGCTCTGCCTTCTTAGCGCTTTCCCTTCCTACCTCCCCTCGTACTCGCAGCCTGGTGGGACCTGCAGGCGGGGCACTCCGTCCTGGAGTGTAGGTGTTTTAGTGCTGAAAGTGTCGCAAGAATGGAGCCAGCTTTGGGGGGCTACAATTTAGAATGAAGAAATAAGCGTTTAGGGGCTGGTCCAACACTTAGCGCCCGTGTATACACTCATCAGGTGGGACTTGGGCAGGAAAAAAATCTGAGGCCTTTGTCAACGCGGGGTGGGGGCTCTAGAATTTATTAAGTCAGTATTTATTAAGTGTCCAAAGGCAAACAGAACACTTACTTACGTTTTAGGGGTGGGAGAAGTTCAGACAAAAATAGATTGTGTTGAATAGTAAAAGTCTGAATGAATTGAGGAGGATGGTCTATAACTGTCCGAGGGAAAAGCCCTGGAGGTAGAGGAAACAGCAAGTGTAAAGGCCCTGAGGTAGAAATATCCTTGGTAAGTTTGAGGAACAGGAAATAGACCACAGAATGCAGAGACAACAGATGGAGGAAGTAGACCTTTAGGATCTGTATAGGCCATTGTATGGATTTGGGCTGTTCCTGTAAGTGAAATGGAGACTGCTGTTTAGTTCTGAGCCGCAGTGATGATTATCAAACACCTAGGATGCTCACAGGGAGGCTAATTATTCAGGGTATACAGTTGAATTTTTCATTCTGCATTCCCTGGAAGGGTTTATAATCTTACTGGCGAAACAAAGATGGACCAGCTGTCATGCAAGGCTGAGTCAGAACATTGGAGCCCTGTGAAAGCAGAATAAATGTCATTCCCAAATCATCAGCAATTTCTGTTATGTCATGTGCTTAATAACTTTGTGAAATGATTGAATAGTTAATATCCCAATACTTAGTGCTAGACCTGTAATGGAGGCTCATGAAAGAATTTTCAAGGAAGAAATGAAATGCTAAATCTGGGAATAGATAATGTCCCACCCAGATTCAGCAAATCTGTGCTTCTGTGATGTCCAACCTCACCTTTGCTTTCTGAGGATCCTTAGGTGGCAAGCTCTTGTTCAGCATCTACTGAGCTTCCATTGGTGTGCCAGGCCTTATGCCAGTCACCCAAGATACAGAAGTAAAAAAGAGGTGGTCTCTGCTTCAAGAAGTGTCTAGCCTGCTACATTATAGACTCTTCTGGTAATGATTGGAGTTGTCTTTCATTTTCAAGATTATTCCGTCCCAAGTTCCTGATCTGAGAAACATCTCAGGGACTATATGAATTTGGAAAAGTATGAGGTAAAAGGAAAGAAAAAGGAAGAAAAGGAATAGGAGTGGTGGTGGTAAAATTCACTTCGACAAACATCAAACACTGCCATATGCAAGGTACACTGTGAACTGTTCAGTATTTAGGTAAATGTAGGTATAATTTCTCCTGCAAAGGAATTAGTTTGGTAGAAGAGAAAATACCACTGCAAGCTTTCCAATTTTTTAAACAGCAACAGTGGAAAATTTGGCAGCCCCTTCAGCTACTCCTTCCCTAGCTCTCTTTTCTCCTTCCTCCTAAGACATCTGTAAATCCTTTGTCTCCTCCCAGTCTTTCCTCCACCAGGGGTTGGCACATAGAAACTCAATGGAATATTTATTGACTAAATGAATGCTTAAACAAAAGTAAGAATATAAAATGCTATTAAGAGGAGGATGAGATCACATGGCTATTAACAATCATTTAATAAACAGGTGTTGGTTTTCTCACTGCAGCAAACTGAATTTGAAAGTTATAGACCAATTTAACTTAAAGTTTTCATTTATTCTTTTTTGAATGCCTAAGTGCAGAAAAATGCAGATGACTCTGACGGCTGGCATAACCAAGTTTGTTCAGTAATCCAAAGCATTGTCTTAATAGGGATCTGGTTGTCTTGTTAAAAATGATTCATAATCAGCTTCACTGTTTATTCATGAACAGTGCAGTGCTTCTGAAATGTTTAAGGATAGCTTGATATTTTTCTCATTTCTCTGGAAATACTATGTACATTATTAAATTCTGTGTATGCTATTCTTTGTACCAGATGCATTAAAAAGTGCAGCAGTATCACTAGATGGAGCAAACAGATTTCAATTTAGGGCTGGCTGCTGAGGTGGCTGCAGTTTGTGAATCAGGGTACTGGCGAGGTGGGAGCTGTGAAGGAAAGGAGCTCTAGAAATTTGTATAGGAGTGCTTAAATGGTGGTCATGATGTGGAGCATCTGGAACTCTCAGGTGGTGGTATAAAATGGTACAATACTTTAGGAAACTGATGACAGTTTCTTATGAGTTAAATATGCACTTTTCCTATGGCCCAGCAGTTCTACGGTTGGAAACTTATCCAATAGATAACATGTGTTCCCAAAAACATTTCTGTGAGAATATTTATAGCAGCTTTATTCATAATATCTCCAAGTTAGAAAATCTCAAATGCCCATCAACAGAATAAATAAAGTATGGTATATTCACTAAATGGAATGCTACTCAGCAATAAAAAGAAACAAAATACTAATACAGTAATGTGTGTAAATCTAAAAAACATTATTTTGAGGACAAAAGTCAAGTTCTAAAGAATATATACTATTTGAATCTTTATATGAAGTTTTATAATAGGTATACCTAGTCTATGGTATGGGAAACAACAGTGGCTGCTTTGGGCAAGTATGGCAAAGGGATGGAGATTGATTTGGAAAGTGGAGAAGAAAGTGAAACTTTCTGGGCTGATGGATATGTTTCATATCTTGATGGAATTGTCATTAACATAGGTGCTGTGCATTTATCAAAGCTCATTGAGCTGGTGTGTTTTACCCACCCTCCTCACATGCATATTCATGAACTCTACCCTTAAAATCTTTGCAAAAAAAATTTAAAGATTAGGGTAACTAATAAAAGAATTTAAGAGTCAGAGAGACTT